ATCAACTTTTTTTTTTCATAAAAAATTATAGAAAATAAAGAATTTTTTTCATAAGTAAAAATCAAATTTTTAATCAATTAAACCTAAATATTAAAATTTGAAAACTGACCACAGAATACCTGAATCCGAAGATTCAGTTCATCTCCGTACCAATTACTGATTAACTTATTTAGGTAACATTAATTATTTAAATTAAAAATGCAGTTTAACATCGGCTATTAAAGTGGCATTATAGTAAATAAACTCTCTGAAAATACCCCAGATCGGGACATGTGCGACCCGTCGACATTTTTGATGAGACACTTATGACTTTATGTACACCTTGAAGAAACTTCAAGGAAGCAAACCTCATAATATTTGTTTTTAATTTAATTAATAATAATTTTATCATGTTAGTATGGCCATGGACAAGTGGACACCAGCATTTGCTTAGCTATCCTCATCATGTTATGTAATATGTATATCATGTGTATATAAATATGTTGTCCATGTCTTTTGTTTAGAGTAGCTGAGGAATCTCTTTCTCCTTTGCATTATTGCCCTTCCATTTATTCTTTTTTCTCCACTTTCTCTTGCCTTTTTATATTGCTCTGCTTTTCACTTTCTTTCACTCTCAAATTCTCTTACGAGGCTAAAAAGTTGTGTGTTCTTCTTCTATCTTCTCAATATTCTTTCCTCTCCCTGATTTTGAAGATGAGTTCCTCAATGATCAAGGTTTTGATGATCTTGGGTCTTCTGGCCGCTTCTTGTATGGCCCAGGCACCGGGGCCTGCACCCGTACCCTCACCCAAAGCAGCTCCCACACCATCACCTAAAGCAGCTCCCACACCATCACCCTCTGCTCCAACACCATCACCTGCAGCCCCAACTCCATCTCCCACGCCATCTCCCACTCCATCTCCCACTCCATCCCCCACACCAGCCGCAACTCCATCTCCAACCACAGCACCAACCCCATCTCCCACTGCAGTTCCTACTCCCTCTAAATCCCCCTCTGAAGGACCTACGGGTAGTCCTCCTCCTGCCTTTTCCCCTTCCAACCAGCCTACTTCTGACCAGACCCCTAGCAGTGCCGCCTCCTTCAGCAGAGTTTTGATTGCTGGAACTGCCCTCACCGCTACTGTCTTCGCCGTGGTCTTGGCTTAAGAAGTGAGAGTGGTGATGATGATTTAGGGTGGGTCGTGGAGGTCGTGTTCGGACTTCGGGTCACGATTCTTGAGATCTGTTTTCTAATCCTGTTTTCTCATTGTTGAGTAGTGTTTCCTTTTTCTTTGTTTTTGTTTTTGTTTTTGTTTTTGTTTTTTTTAATTTATTTGTCATTTGAGTTTGTGACGATGATGATTCTATTATTCGGATTGGACGGCGGCAGATTATTTTGGCCATGACATGTGTATCATTTGATGGGAGATGGGATGGGTGGAGAAAGGTTGGGTGTACATCAATAACAGTGGAATAAATAGCAGTTTGTTATTCTTTTAAAATTTACTCTCTCAATTTCCTAGCCGTTTATCTTGAGTAACTTTTCTTTTCTTTTCTTTTCTTTTTTTTTTTTTAAATAAAGACTGGATAAAAACTGGCAAAATACTGGTACATCAGTTCTGGTGAAATGAAATCCCAATAGCATCAGCAGTTAAAAACAACGCAAGGCCGATCCTCACGCTCTGACCAGTAGCATTCTATGAGTGGAATCAACACTGCGAATTGTAATTTCGAGTTTTATAGATTCTTTTTTCCTAATCCTCATTCCTCTCTCTCTAAATAATGTAATCCTATTCAAAAAAATAAAAAAATACTATCAAAATGTACCAAAAAAAAGAAAAAGAAAAAAAAAAGACACAATCGAAGGCCCTTAGGGCACTGATTCTGAGTAGTTTCATCATGGTCTACTTTCATCCCCCCTCCCCCCGCCCCCCAAAAAAAAGCATATAAATAGAGCTCATTGGGTTAGAAGAAATGAAGTTGAGGGAAAATTTTTCCTCAAATCAAATACCTAATTAAGGAGCTGTTTGATAGAGATATTTTTGTTTATAAACTTACTTTTAATTTAAATATTTTATGGGAGGAAAATGTTGGTTTTTTAAATTTTGAAATAAAAAAATATTTATAAGCAACAGAAAAATCCACGAGTATAAAAGCCATTCTTATATCATCCCCACTATTTTGTACGAAATAGTAGCAATTTTGCTATGAAAATTGGCCCAAAAAAATCACCCTATACAGAAATTAACGGAGATACACCCTTTGAGTGTATCGATGAAGGACATTTTTATCAATTTAATTTCAAATTAGCAGTCCAAAATAACATTTTCTTTTGCCAGTTCAAACTAAAAAAAATTGGCTTTCTCACCGTATTCTGTTGTATTATAAATTCCTCTGATTTGCTTAATTTTCATGCAATAATCACAAAAAATAAACCGCACAGAGTAAATACTTTAATGACTTGTTAGTTTAATTGGGAATAACTCGATTCTCCTTAAATGAGATTTCAAGTTCGAATGTTATGAATAAAAAAACAAGCCTTAAAAGAGTTTCTTTCTTATAAGGTTCAACGCGACTCGATTTTGGATTATTTAGAATCCAATATGATTATTGAATAACAAAAAATTAATTAAAAAAAAAAGTAATGGCACAATTTTGA